ATATAAGCAATGAAGTATGGAATGGCGAAAGCGCCAGTACTGAAGTCACAAATTGCCAGGCTAAGAAGCACATAGTTTGAGGAAGTGCGGAGACGGGGACATCGGTAAAACAAGACAAACACGAGTCCATTAGCCACAACTATTGCTATGGCAATTGGAAGAAATTTGCTCAAGGCCTTGACTCCATCGTCGGACTGTTGCTGAGGTAACTTTGAGGTTACATTGCTGTTATTCATTTTTACTTCTGTTGAACGACTAATGAAGATTAAATCACTGAAAGACAAAAATAAAACAACGTTAACGAAAGATATGTGATTATGTTCTGTGAGTACAAATAGTAAATTAGTTTTTTTGCAGTAAAAATGAGCGTATTTCATTAATTGACTACAGTAGGTGAGATCAGTGTAATTCGCGATCTAAATCGAAATACTAATATTGATGCAAAAATGAAAAGTCATGCTTTTATAATTTTCAGGTCGTCGTGAAACCTAATGCAATTTGCAATGGTTGGAACCTCCAATGTCAAGTGGAATTCTGTGTTCTTGGGCTTACCAGGTAACCCGGAAATGAACAGAGACGACGGTTTTGGTTTTCGAAACTACTTAGTTAAAGTATGTTTTCATACCAGGGAACGCTTTTGTACCATTACGGTCACTTGGGAATTCCCTAGAGAGGCCGACGAAAGACTTGTTGAGTGCCCCCTGTCCATGAAAGCTGATTAATATTCTCTTGGAACACCTACAAGCCCTAGCTTTCCTCGGTATGTTGCTCATACGTTGGTAACAGATTAAACTCGTATACATTCCATGTTCAATATTCCGAGAATATAGATGGAATTACTAAAGCTGAATAAACCATTTTCTTACTAACTAAAACAGCAGTCATTTAACTCAGAGAATTATTTTAATCTTGTCTTAAATTGTTGATTATGAAAAACAAACGTGCACGTGCATATTCCAGAAGTTAACTTTCTTTTTCTTTTTTTTCCTTTTTTTGTACTTGTTATTTTCTGTTGCTTTAGTTGTTTGTTTCGTTTGGTTTGGTTTTATTCCAGCGGTAAAATAAACATTTCGCTGTGCAAATGGCAGAATTTCTTTTACAGCATACCTATAACATCCAATCAGCGCAAACACATCCCTATCACTGTATTTTCTTCAAAGAACAAACTCTGCCAAATAACAACCTGTCAACTGTTTCCTTCGTTACTATCGTTACATCTCGTTCGTGGCGCTGCGTTATTAGTTATCGATTTCTCGTTGTCTTCTTTCAAATTGTACTTTTCATCTTGATCTTATTATTCTTTAAGAACAAAGCATAAAATTGGCATTCAACTATGAATGGCAAACAAAATTTGAATAAAGAAAAATATATTTACAGTCTGTCATGAGCTCAGAACAGGGAAACAATTCTGAGTTCCCACGATAAGGCGAACTTCAGACTGTCGGATTCCGCGTTCCGACCACGATGAGCTTCGAAATACTCTTTGGTACGTGAAATTATTATTTTTTTCATACAGATTGGTGACATGCGTCCCAGCTCATGCTACAAGCATCACTGTCCTTGAAAGCTTCATGTAGTTCCATAGAATAGAAAAAATGGCAAATTTTGAGTTCAGTAGAAAAATACTTCTAAAATATTTTAAATGTGAAGATAAACTTGAAATTTGCGGATTTGTGGTCTTATAATGTACCCTTCGAGCAGGGTATGTCAAGGGACAAGTGCAGTTGAAAATACGTTTCCATATATACAATTAAAAACCAGCAACAATGACGTTTGAATGGAAAGCATCCAGAAACGGAGAATCAATTCTGTATTCGGATACACATGTCAATGCCTTAAAATGATAAACCCAGGATCAAATGAATGTGTAGGTAGTGGGTCGGTTCGCTATAACTGGTGCGTTTTAGGCTCCCTGTCATGTGAGTATTATTCAGTTCATTCATTCGTTCATTCATTCATTCTTTATTCACACTTATTCTACTGAAAATACAACAACGAGAAAGTGAAAAAGTAGAAAAAAAAAAAAGAAGAGAGTTCTAATTATACATGAATTTACACAAAGCAGTGGAAAGAGTGTGTAGTAGCCAAAGGAGCCAAGCTTTCGAGTTGGCCACTACCACAGAGCAGTTACGGATGGGTGAAAGTTAAATACACTTAAGGAGATAGCACATATACTAAGTAGTTAAAATAGTAAAATAGAGCTCTATGATAGGTTAAAGTTGTTCAAGATGTCTGCCTGCTAAGTAGGAAGAGTTTATATTCTTTTTTAAAGCTTTTGGCAGGGAGACACTTTATTTTAATAGGTATCGTCTGTACAAGTTTTGATTAGTGGCATACCTAGTAGAGTAATTATGGACAGCTGAAGCTGGTTGGGCTAGATCGTAGAGGACTGGAGGAATATTCTTTTTTTGATATTGAATTTTATGCACAAGGGAGCCAATTTTTAATTTAAAAATATTCTCTAATCTTAAGATTTCTAATAGTGTAAAATATGGTGTAGAACTTTCTCTTTTGCTAGCAAAGAAGATGCTGCGGATACCGTTGTTTTGACCTATTTTAATTTTATTTAACCTGGTTTGGTATGCAGTTTCCCAGCACATCAATCCACATGTTAGATATGGATATATGAGAGTATAGTACAGTTGTTTGAGTGTGCTAACAGGTAAATAGTGTCTAAGCTTAGATAGAATCCCGACGTTTTTTGTTATTTTATTGTTTATGTGCTGGCGCTGAGCATCCCATTTTAAATGTTCATCAATAAAAAGCCCCAAATATTTTATCTGAGTTTTTTTTTTTTTTCGCAAGCTGTTATTCTGATATTTGTTCTCTTTTTAAGTGAAGTAATAATCATATAATTAGTCTTCTTGAAATTGATTGACAGCATATTTGCTGCACAGTATTTTAAGACTTTTCTAAGCTCTTCATCAATAACTGATTGGAGCTGCTAAGGGTCTTTTGAAGAATAAAACATATTTGTATCATCTGCAAAAGTCCTAAAAGTTAATTTCTCTGAAGACCTAGGAAAATCATTAATATACAACAGAAACAGCAACGAACGTAGTGTGGAGCCTTGGGGTATACCGCATGTAATAGTTTGCAGGCTAGATTCTGTATTACCAACTTTGACATATTGCTTACGATTAGTTATATAGCTCGAAAACCATGCGTAGGGGACTCCTCGGATCCCATATTTGTATAATTTTTCTGAGAGAATATGATGTTTAATTGTGTCAAAGGCCTTAGAAAAGTCTCAGAATATACCTCATGTAATTTGTTGACTGTCAATTGCTGACTTCGAGTTCTCTACAGTTTCGAGAATTACATCTTCCGTGGAATATCCCTTTCGAAAGCCAAATTGATAGTTAAAAAGTAGACATTCTTTTACTAAATAGGACACAAGCTGGTCATATACTAGTCTTTCCAGTACTTTACTGAAGGGAGAAATAACTGCTATTGGTCTATAATTACCTAACTCAGATACACTACCGCTTTTTTCAGAAGGCTGAAACCGTCAAGAACCACAAGCTGTGCCTCTTGATTCTGTGTATTCTTGCCTTGGGAATTTCAATTTCACTTTCATTGTCAATATAATTAGAATAAAATGTTAAATGACTGACTCATATATCTCTCAGTGTAGTTATTTGGTAAAAAAGCTTTTCGTACAAAATCTACCCATTTTTTAGGTATTTCGTGCCTCTGCATATTCGTCCTGATTATTGCTGCATTTTTTAATTAAAGCGAGCTATATATTTTGTAAGAAGGGCTGAACCTTGATAGCCTCGAAAACGAGGCACGTTTGCTATGTTCAAATGGAGGTGAGATACGGTGAGGTAACGAAAACTAAGTTAAAGAGAGTAAAAACCTGCAATTAGAACAGTAACTGAGTGCCATGAAAACGAAAGAAAACAAAGTAAGAGGAAAATAAGATAACTTGAACGAGCGATGAAACTTAACATATACATGTGAGTCCTTGCTGAATTTGGCGGTTTCAAGCATATCAGCCCCTCTAATTAACATTTGCGGAAATGGCAGTCAGAAAAGATTCAGACTTTGATGACTCAGTTTGAAACTACCCGCATACTTCTAATTCCTATGGTTAGTATGTCATACACCGATTACAATATTGTCATATGCATGATGTTAAAAGCGATCTTCTTTGGAATTACAGGAGATCTAAAAACCAAAATCGCACGCGGAGATGAAGTATCGATTGGAAGCGTGGTCATTTCAATGCCTTTTCCGGTATTTTCATGTTAGTTTCAGTTTGAGGTTGAAACTGTCCTCGCGGGGCGTGGTCCATATGCGGGCCTTGTTTATCAGCTCGGATCCATAACCTCAATTAGTTAACTCAAGGCTTGTACAGTTATTGTGTTGTTGGCTTGTTGAGTCTCCC